TTACTAATTTTTTCTTTAATTACTACTCCATAAGTCCCTTAATTTTTTAATTGATTACTTTAGGTCCTTCCTTTAAAGGTTTCCTAACAACTTTTAAACTCCTAAATTTCATATATAATTTAATTTAAAAGTTTAAACTTTAATTTTATGCAATTTGGTCCCTAATTTCTAAAATTTTATTCTTTACCTTTCCAAACTTCAATTTCTTTTCATAATAAACTCAAACACTTTGTAATAGAATTTAATCATCATTCACATAATTTTTATACACTTATTTAGGCCTTTAAATTAATTATTTAGTATAAAAATGCACTACTTTCAACAAAAAAATATTCCTTGTAAATAGAAAAATTCATCTAAGTTTATAAAGTATTCCTACGTATCCTACATGATTTTTTCTATACCCATTGAATAATTTTATTATACTTTTAAAGTAGTTAAATTAGTTAATTTACCTCAAAAACACTATTTATGCACAATAAACTTTGTATAAAATAATCACGGAACATCGTAAAATTCACCTAATGGCATTGAATAATCTAGCACCCCTCTAGCAAATTTTAATGCAAATAAAATATTTGTCATACACATTCATCATGCTTAAAATAATTATTTCACATAAAAAATCACTATTCATACATAGTAACCGTGTAGGGTAATGATTTCACCAAAGCAATGAACATCATATGAGATTCTATCTAATTCAATCAAGTTATAAATAACATGAATTAATGAAGACTTATTTATTAGTAAATATGCAATGATACAATTTACAAACCATCATAACAAATTGGATATAGGGCACCAACAATAATAGTCTCTCGCTCGCGCTAGAGCCAACCAGATGATGTTCGTAATGCTTGAAGATCGAATAAGAGTTTCATGTTTTTGTTGTAATAAAATCTTAGTCAATGGACTTGCTACATTGTCATCGATAAGCACCTTTTCTATCCTTATGTCACCATGATTTATAATCTCTCTTATCGATGGTAACATCGTAGTACATGCTTGGATTATTGATGAAACCTTAATTCCTTAGCTTACGATATGGCTCGTTGTTGTCACAATATAGTACTATAGGATCAATAACACTTAGAACCATCTATAGTCCAGTCAAGAATTTGTGAATCCATATAGTTTCCTTAGTCGCTTCTACAATCGCAATATATTTAGCTTCGATTATTGAGTTAAATATTATTTCTAGCTTAAAACTTTTCCAACTCATAACACCAACAATCAATTTGAAGTGAATCCTAATTATGACTTAAAGTCATTGTGATCAGTATGAAAACTAGTATCTACAACCTCTTTCATAACTAATTCATCTTCTCCATATACCAAGAAACATCTTTGGTTCTTCTTCATCATGATCGAGTTTGAAAAATAACAACTACGAACTCTTTCATAACTAATAATCTCCTCCATATACTAAGAAAACAACCTTAGTTCTTCTTAAGTACTTAAGAATGTTCTTCACAATAATCTAGTATTTCTCATCGGCTTAGCTTGATATCTACTATAAATACTCAAAGTATATGAGACATCATCAAGCCGCATATATAGCATGGCATACATGATTGACCCTATCGTAGATGCATAAGGAATATGATTCATTTTTTTCGTTTCATTTTGTGTTTTCAAACACTAAGCCTTAGAAAGATTTATCTCATATGATATTGGAAGAAGTCCCCTCTTTGATTCTTCCATACTATACCTCTTTAGTACTATATCAATATAAATTCTTTGGGAGAGTCCCAACATTCTTTGTGATTTATCTCTCGTAGATCCCGATACCTAAAACATAGGCTACCTCTCCCATGTCTTTCATATAAAAGTTCATGGATAGCCAATCTTTTATAGATTGCAACATGATAATGTCATCACCAATAAGTTATATGTCATCTACATATAGAATAACAAAAAATATTAAGCTTCCATTAACCTTCTAGTACTCATAAGTTTCATCTTCATTTCGTGAAAGTCAAACTTTTTTATCATTTCATCAAAACATTGATTCCAACTCCTGAAGCCTACTTAAGCCCATAAATGAATCTTTTCAACTTGTAAATTTTATTCGCATGTCTTTTGGTGATAAAACCATTAGGGTGTGTCATGTATACATCATCATGTAAAATTTTATTAAGGAAAACTATTTTGACATCCATCTATCATATCTCATAGTCATGACATGCATTAATTACAAGCATAATCTTAATGAATTTACCATAGCTATTGATAAAAAGGTCTCATCATAGTTAATTCTTTTTTTTTTTAATGATAGCTTTTCACCACTAGTCTTGCTTTATATGTATGTATATAAATATCTATGTCGGTCTTTCTCTTAAAGACCTACTTACACCTAATCGATCTAACACCTTCGGGTAGATTAACCAAAGTTCATACTAGGTTAATGTACATGGATTCCATTTCAAATTTCATAGTATCATGCCATTTCTTAGAGTTAATGTATAACATTACCTCCTCATAGGTATTAGATTTGTCATTCTTTATTAGAGGCATATAATCATGTGTAAAGATAAGAAAATCATAACTTTCCGGCTCTTGATGAATTCACTTAGATCTATGGAGTTCTTATATATCCGTTTATTAGATAGTTATAATACTTTGTAATCTGTCTACGTGAGGGTCCATAAGTGGAGTATCAATATGTGAGTTAACTCAAATCTCATCGAGTTTAACTTTCCTCCCATTAGTTTTAACATCTCTAAATTCCTTTTCAATGAATACAACATGTCTAGCCACGAACACCTTTTATTCTTGTGGTTGGTAAAAGGAATATCCGTTTGTTTTTTAGATATCCCATAAACTTGCACTTTGTAGATTTAGGCTCTAACTTGTTTTTGTCTAAGCATTTGACATATGTTTCATAGCCTCAAATCTTAAGGAAAGATATATTTTCCTTCTCTCTTTTCATGTCTCATATGGTATCCGATCAACAAATTTTATTGGAGCCTTGTCCAAATTAAAGATTGCCATAAGGAGTCCATGTCTAGCATTATTCTCGCTCCACTTTCCGAACACACCATTCGTTTATGGTGTTCGAGGTGGTGTCCATTAAGAGAGAATCCCATTCTCTTTTAGGTGATTAAAAATTCACCGCTCATGTATTCACCACCTTGATTAGATCGGAGAGCCTTGATGCTTTTAATGATTTGTTTCACAAATTGAAATCTAATTTTTTTTTTTTGAACTTTTCAAAAGCTTCAAATGTGTATCTCATTATATATTTATAATCAAAATGTAATATATCCTCGGTAAAGATTATGAAGTAATCATATCCTTCTCTTGCTTGAGTGAACATAAGCCCAAATACATCAATATGTCTAAGTCCTAACAAGTTAGCAGACTCTTTCTTCTTTTCAATAAAAAAGAATTAATCATCCCGCCAAGTAAACCTGGATTTGCAAGCGCTGTAAGATTCATGATGAAATGAGTCTAGATATTCATTCTTATGAAGTTTGAATATGCGACTCTCACTTACGTGGTCAAGTCGACAATGCCACGGATATGTTTTGTTTACGTCATTTGATTTGAGTCTTTTGGTATTTATGTTATATATAGAATTGTCTATGTTATAAATATATAAACTATTATCAACTACATCATTTTCATATAAAACTTTAACTTTATAAAAAAAAACAACTATTATTCTATAATAAAAATAAAAAACCATCTTAGTCCAAACAAAAAATTAAAATAATATTCCTAGTAATATTAGAAATGTAATAATAGTTCTTGAGTTTAAACATAAGCCCGGAGGGCAATCCCAACTCATAAGTGCCCACAACAAATGATATAACTCTTAATCCATTACTTGTATACGAGTTAACCTTCTAAAAAGCAATCCTTCTTGATCCTCTGAGCCCTTGAACATTTATATAAATGTGATGATCATATCTTATATCAAATACTCATAACGAAGAATTAGAAGTATAAAAATTAACTTCAATAACTACTACTATATTTTTTACATTATGCGGCAATTTTTTAGCAACGGTTCAAAGTTCGTTGCATATTAGAATTATATGCAATGGTTTTGTAGAGGTTTCAAATTATTACAGTTAAAATTATTTTTTTATACTCAATTAAGTAAATCGTTGCAAAAATTGTTGCATATGATTTAATTATGCAGCGGTTTTAAGAAACCACAACATAAAGGCGTTTTATGCAACGGTTCAGTATCGTTGCAATTAAATTTTTTAATCAAATTCTTAACCAGTTAAAAAACTTATTTTTTTATCATTCTCCCGCTAACACACATCCAGCCTCTCCTCTCAAGTATCTCTTCTCTCTCTTTGGCTTTCTCTTTTCTCTGTCTTTGTCTCGCTCTTTCTTCGAAGAGAGATGGCAGTGAAGGAATTTTGCTTTCTTCTCCTCTGTTTCATTCTACTCCCTTCTAATTCTTTGATTGAAACCCATAAATTACTTCTAGGAATCCTCTAGGTGAAGCCCAAATATCCCTCTAAAACCTAGATTTGTTTATGTTACCTTAGAAATCTTACAATCCTTATATTAGAAACTTGAGTCTTTCTCTTAAGAACCCTCAAAATCCTCTTTGTGAACCCAGGAATTCCTTTGATGAAACCCAAGAAGCCTAGAATTTGTTTAAGAACCCAGAATAAGAAAGAATCCCAAAGTCTCTTTTTTCAAAACCCAACAAAAGCCCTAGAAAGTTTTCCTTTTTTTCCAAAGAAACGAGATTCCTTCCCTATTTATACCAGAATACTGCCCCTTCTCCACCTTTTAATTCTCTATACCTTAATCCTATCCATCTCCATTAAATCCAAAATTACCCAGCTCCTCTATTGTTGTTTTATTCCTCAAATTTGGTTTTGCCTGATAACAAGGCCAACAAACTAGTTTTTTCTTATAGGTTTCGAAGAATTACCCTTAAAAGGTGATAGATTTTTCAATAATTAAGGGCCCATAGTCACCTCACCAATACCAATCTAATAAGTTTCGATGCGACGAGTTCGAACATGAGGCACAGAGTGTTGTGTGAGATTGAATATGAACATTCTAAAATAATTTGAAATATAATGGTGTTTTGTTTATTATTATGTGGTTTATTTTTTATTTTTTGTTCGCTACTATCCAAAACGTTTTTAGATGCTTAGTTCGTGGTTTATTCAAATTCCTTGTTTTCTAATATTTTTTGGAATGTGAATGAAATTTATGTTACCGTTTTGCTTCTTTAGGTAAGTCTTTATAGAGCACAATCTAGAAAAGATAAACCCAGCCGACAACATGGGTTGACTTCACAGAAGAAGCAGGAAATTAGGGAATCATTTGAACTATTTGATACTGATGGCTCAGGTACTCAAATTATCTGTTGCTTCTTTTTTCAACATGTGTGATTACTTTCCTAATGATTTGTTGGTTTCTTTTGCTATGTTGTCCAAGCACTATTGATGCGAAAGAGCTGAATGTTGCCATGAGGTATGAATATCTTATCACGTTTGATGAGTCTTTTTAAGTTGATTTGTCTTGAAATTATTGTAACAAAAATTGTCTGATAATAGGGCGCTTGGTTTCGAGATGTCAGAAGAGGTACCTTCTGTGCCTTATTATGTGCATGTGTTGAGCTTTTCTTTTATCTACTATGTTTTAGAATACCATTTTTATCATGGATATATGGGCGAAAGCTATCTCACCATATAGTATTTGTACACACTTTGTAATTGTGGTTTTCCATAAACAACATAATGGAGCTTATAATCTTAGATTGAATTGGTTTTCCCTTTTCACACACGTATCAACAGGTCTTTTCATGCAAACTGTTTTGAAGTAAATTTAGTCAACGATCTCTTGCAATAGTTTCACTTGTTTTTGAAAAGGATATTACATTGGACTGTCCAATAGATGCCATCTTTATCTCCTTAAAATTTCTCATTTCTTTGTTTCATGTGGTTGACCATCATGTTATTGGGGGTGAAATAACAAAAACAAGTTAGGGATCAGTGGATGGATAATATTTTTAGATGAATTATTCATGCGAGCTGGCAACTAAGTGATTCCGTATTTACAATGATTCTTAAGTATAACCATTTTGTAATTAAAGAACACAAGACCAATAAAAAACATCTAAGGATGGGAATTAGGCATCACTTGTAGTACGACTACATTACTTCAAGATAGTGTAAGGTGGTCCTTGTTCTTGGGAGATCGAAAGCCCTTTGTAATAATCTTAAAGTCTTAACAGTGTAGAAGTTGATATCCCAATAAAAATTCATTTTTCTCTATCTCGAGAGAAAATGGAAATTGTCAAAATATAATTGCTTTTAGCTGTGTCCACTGAAAAACACAAGAAATACGATGGGGCCTTTCCTTAGGAAACCTCCTCTACATAGGAGGTTTTTATCGTTTTCTTGTGTTTAAGGAACTTGTTCCACCTATCAGTTATCAGTTATCATTATTAATCTATACTTTAGTCTTCCTTTACTTTCTTTCTTGCGTCATAGTTAAAAAATTGAGGAGCTTTTGTAGCATATAGAATCTTATTAATATATTTATACAAAAGTATTAGCTATTTGGAGATAATATGGGCTTTGAAGCCCTGTCAGAAAAAAATAAAAATAAAAGGCTTTAGAGAGCAATGTGGTAAGCTTGAAGTAGATCTTTCCTATAATAACTTTGCTCAATTAGTTTCTTGCCTAACTTGGATCCTCCTGAATGTGAGTGCCATGATTGTTTCATCTGTTTTGAGGACCTGGCTGCATGGTAACATATTGCTTGGTTATGCCTTTGCAGCAAATCAAACAAATGATTGCAGATGTTGACAAAGATGGTAGTGTTGCGATTGATTATGATGAATTTGAGCATATGATGACAGCCAACATTGGAGAAAGGGACACAAAGGAAGAGATTTCAAAAGCATTCCGTATCATTGACCACGACAACAATGTGAGTTTTTGTTGATTTATCCTTGATTTTGCTAGTTCTTGTTGACGAGGTATTATTTAATTTATTTTGGTTTAGGGAAAAATTTCTATAAATGACATCAAGTGAATAGCCAAAGAGCTTGGTGAAAGCTTCATTGACAGAGCTTTCATGTGTGGACTCCAAGCCACATAAAAACTCACAAGACAACTGAGATGGATGAGGAGTTAGCATCAAGTTTTGGGCTCTTGTCCTAAACCAGCTACTCATTATACCATATGCTCAATAAAAAAATACAGTGTACCCTTATGAGATGTCTTGTGAGTTTTGCTTGTGCTTGTTCCCTATTTTTTAGGCCGTTAAAAGCAAATGTGTAGACTCCAAGCCTTTTGGTGTCAGTTTAGTTTTGGGAGCCCTCATGTTGGTGATTTCTTTTGGTGTAGCTTTCTGTACTAAGAAATGCAATAAGAGGTTCGCAAACGTTGGCATACTGGATAGGTGCTTGAAGTACTGTGGAATATGTTGTGAACAGTGCAAGTGTGTGCCTTCTGGAACCTATGGGAACAAGCACGAATGCCTTTGTTACAGGGACAGGAAGAAGTGCAAGGGCAAGCCCAAATGTCCTTAAATCAATTTTTTAAGACTCTGAAGATATATGCATGTGCTCAGACTTGAGAAAGATATCATATAGATGAGCTTGCAGTGAACTAGTGCTCGAGACTTGAGAGCAATTAGCTTTGTGAGGTTAGCTAGATATATAATAAGAGCATATCAATCCTTCGTTTTTTTTTTCTTTTTTGTTGGCATTAATTGTGGGGTTTGATTACTATGGTTGGCATTAATTGTAGTATTTTTTTTTCTTGTGTTTTTTAATGTTGTTTAGATATTTGGATTATTTTTTTTTCTTGTAGTATGTTAATTTTTACAATTATGTTAACAAACTTCTTATATTATTACTTTTCTCATTATTAATTAATTAATATCTAGAATTATTTTCTAAAAATTATTATAAATACATCATGATCATTACATTTGATTAAAAATTTATTGCAATTAAAAAAATCAATTGCAATAATATTACAAATTATTGCATTAAATATTATTAAAAACCGTTAGTAAATCGTTGCATTACATATAAAAAGGGATAGTTTATATATGGCAAACCACCGCATTAAAACAATAAAATTGTTGCATAATGCAATAGAAAAACCACTACCAAAGAATAAAATTGCTACATAATATGTCATGTAAACCGTTGCATTAGATAATCTCAATTGTTACATAAAATATGTCAATAATCGTTGTATATATTATATGAATCACCGTTGTATATATTATATGAATCGTTGCAAACGTTTTGATTAAAATTCTTGCTTTTTAATTCTCCAAACCGCCGCCTAAAATACTAAGGTAAATGTTGCAATTGAAGGGTTTTACATAACGGAATGTGTTCCGTTGCTAGTGCGTATGGAAATTGCTCGCATTAGCTTATTTCGAGTGCTGATCGGATGTAACGATTGGTAAACCATTTCATTAGATGTAATGCAATGGTTTTGGCTTATTTTGTAGCGGTTTGCAATCACCGTATGAGGCTTCATATGTTGTAGTGAATATAAATGCTCGAGGTGCTAGTAGAATTCTTCTTTTGCATCTTTTTTAGGTATTCTTAGTATTTACACTTTCAATACTCTTTTTTGTTGCAATGAAAATAGACTACATCCTTTTAGCTATTTTAAGCCTTGACCTTTTTTAACCCTTCAGTAGGTGTAATATGAGGCTTCTTCTTTTTTTTTCTTTTTTTTTTTTTTTTTTTTTTTTGTACTTAGCTTGATTTGCCCTTTACCTTGCCTTTATTCCTACCAATAAGAAGAACAACATTCTTGTTCTTCTTATTTATCTCAAGTCGAACTTTACTCGAGCATGGTCAACAACTTTCCAAGTGGTCTTTTTTATATGCATTATCGTCGAAGTTTATGATAAATTGTTTAAAACTATCGGGCAACAATTGCAACACCCGGTCTATGGATAGCTCAACACCCATTACAATTTCAAGCTCTTCCAAAGTGTCGATATAGCCTATCATCTCTATGACATACTTCTTAACATTAGATCAGTCATCCATTCTAGTTTTAAAAAGCTTCTGGCTAACTCATAATACTCATGCTTGGTATTCTCCTCAAATAAACTCTTAAGCTTTGCTATAATATTATACATGCTTCTACCTTTATATTGGGGCATATGTTTTAACGTTTTAGCACTCAGCATGATACTCCGAGAAATCATTATATCATCTTTATGTTTGATCCATGCTACATAAGCTTCGGTCTCATCTTGAGAAGGTTTGTCTCAGGAGAGGTTTCTCTATTGTATAGAGTATCTTCTCGTATTGGAGGACAATCCTCATATTCATTTCCCAAATTAGGGAGTTCATGCCAATGAAAGCATTAATTCCATAAATTATCAATCGTATCGATGTATTATCGGTTATACTATGCAACAACCTAATATGATATAAGAACATATGGTTTGGTTAATTAATTTACATTATGAAAAACAAAAACATAACTTAAGATATGAAAGTTTATGTTTTCTCCCACTATTTTATTTAAGTTATATAACCTTCAATATATAATTTGAAAAACTTATCGATCATTTTCCTTAGCAGAGTTAGGATTATGTCAAATCATACATTAACCTTGAGTTATCTCAACAAGTCATATATGAAAGAATTAGGTAGGTAACACCCTACCAATTCATTTGATGCAATTCCTAATCTCATTAGTATGAAATTTTTTTATCATCTTCCATCTTATGAATACCAAACCTTGCCTATAAATTCGAGTAGGGCCCGAGTTGTCTCAACAAACCCAAAATTGCACTTTAATTTGGACTCAAACATTTAAGGACATTGCATGGATCATAATTTGATGGCTCTAAAGAAGAAGTGAATTGAGTTATCTAAACAAGTCAATAACGACCAAGAGGTTTTCTCCTTATAATGTTAGAAGGCAAATAACTTGATATTTGATCGAAGGATTTTCATTTATTAGGACTCATTATTTAATTAATTAAATTAATCCTATCATGCATTCTATTGTTCAATCATATCAAACTCATATTAAATCTATCAAGCATACTACATATACATGATTCAAAGATAGATGAATGGTAATGGATTTCTAAAACTAGTTTCCTTAAGCCATAAGGAGACTAATGGATCCAAAACCTAAGCAAAGAACTTTGAAATCTTCATTTGGCTTCAAATCTTATCTCCTTTCTTGGCTTCTTCTTCGTACCTATTCGAATAATCTATCTTCTAATTTTATATTTTTTTAATAAAAAATCTTGAGTTATATTGGAAGGAAGTAAGATGAGAAAAAAAGGTGCATCGAATAATAGAGAAGGCGTAACAAATAGGTCTTATTTAACAAAAAAAAAAAATTACAAGCATTTATTTTTAAAATTTTGGTCGACTCATCCATTCCATTCATCGAAGCTTCAATCATATTGATACATATTAATCAACTAGTGAAACATTTTCATTCTTTTTTGTAATTTTAAATTCTATGATTTTTTGTCATTTTACAAAAAAAAAAAAAAAGAATAAATTTTGAAATATTTCTTAAATTTATTTTTCTAAACATTGGGCCTTGGTCTTTGGGCCCTTTAAGGCCTTAAGCCTTGGGCCTTTAAGTCCAACAAGCGATCCTTGGATCTAGCCTGGCCTATACCTAGCATTAGCCCGACCTTATGCCTAGTGTTGGCCTAGCCTAACCCTCGGGCAATGCCTAAGTGCCGGCTTACCTTGGCTAGCACCCACCGCTTGCCTACCCTTACCATTGGCCAACGTAGTGTCGGCTAGCCTAGGCTATTAGCAACTAGCAACTACTAGTGCTAAACACTAGCATGATGTTCCTATTTGCCAATGCCTAGTGCCTAACGTTGGCTCCGGCACACCCATCGCCGCCTCCCAAGATCGGCCCTCGGTGACTACTAGCCACCGTTGGCGTAGTAGTGTAGAACATAACTCATTCTAAAAATCACATTTGAAGGATCATGCATCCTAAGACGGTGTGGAATAAAATAAAAAATTTTATCCATTAAAAAGGCTCATGATCATGTCGTTGAATCAACTAACCAAATATTCATGAATTAAAGAGATGAATAGAGAATTATCTATCAGAAGCACGGATCTAAATTCCTTAACATAAAAAGGAGCTATCCGGACATCCGGACTCTATTGATTATCCACACAATCAAAGTAATGACAAAGAAGCACTCAAAATTGATAGAGTGCTAGCTTCACTTTTTCTAATTTGTTTAGTATTTTCTATAGAAATTTAATCTAGGTAATTGTGTGACAACCTAAAGAGGAGAGGAAAGTGGCATATGCTAGGGTTTTTAGGAGAAAATTATTTTCTTCATTTATTTTTCTTTTGCCGTGTACCCTAGCTCTCCTTTTAATTGTGCCAAATTTTCTCTCCCTAAAAATTCTTTCTCGTTGTTGCATCTCTCTTCTTATTTATAGGGTGAGACTCGTCCTTGTCCTCTAAGACGAGGGGCGACAACTTGTCCTAATTTGTACCGTTAGTCGTTGCTTCTTAAAATCTAAGGATTAAGAGTTATTTAACATGTGGGCTTTTGATCTTTATCTTTAAAACATTCAACTTTATCTAATAAGGTTCATGTTTATCCTCCCATTAAAATATCTTCATACTTTTAATTAAACCTATTGGCCTAAAACGATTTTGGTGTAATTAATTAATTTGGACAATCTAAATAAATAGACCTAGATAATTTTAAGAGGTCCACATTTAGGAATCAATTTTCTAAAATTTTCATCTTAGGTTATTTACTTTCAAATTTAGAACTAACTTCCAAATTAGGAAACTAATTTCTAAAATATAAAATTTTCTATTTTAGGAAACTTTTTATTTTTTGAAACCCTTTCCAAAATAAGAAACTTTCAAAATCGAAAACTTTTTCTAATATCTTTGCTTCTCTTCAATCATGTGAATGATTAAACTTATGCATGTGACTCAATAGGCTCTAAGATATGCTAGTAATGTATCTAAAACAAAAGACACCACTTCTAGCAAAGCATCATGACTATCCAATTCTCTAGGACGATTAATTAATCCGTTATTACCTTTCACGAGTATGGTTACCATATAATTCAATTCTCTCGTCAACTTATCATAGTGTGACCTCAAACTTAGTTATAATTCTTATTCAATTATGATCATAAAAGTTTTCTTTAATTCCTAAATGTTTCAACTCTTAGAGTAAACTAACTATGCTCTATTGGTGTACTCCTAATATGGTCATATATTTCTCGAGCAAGCATTCATCCAAGTGCAATGTGATAACTTTTTTAGCATACTAAGAATGGCATGTCTTGCCTTAGTCATCCACCTACCTCCATTAGATTCCTAGTGGATCTAATAAATCGTCCACGTATAACCTTTTACCGGGTCTATTGAAACAAGTGTCAAAGTACATGAATCCTCTAATGAGTAACCATGATGACTTTAAGTCAAAGGTCCAGATTGTACCCATCTCGTATGAGATTCCCATAGACTAAACCAAATGGATTCTTATGGTGAGTCAAGTCCAATGATATGTTTT